AGTGGGTCGTTCGCACAAATCGCAAGTGATATGCTTCAAATATGAAAATAGCTCGAATCGATTTTAATTCGGTGCATCCACAACGTGTCCACATTCACGTACAATTTATTTTCTCTTTAAAGCGATAAAGTTGCACCATTATGCGAAATCACCTGGTTGGTTTGCAATGACTCAGAACCACAGTACCATAAACTAGATTATAGACCAATATTTGCTATAATTTTTTCTCCATGGGTTCAGGCGCATCTGTCATGCTTTATTGATCTGTTTGAGTCAAAACAGAAGTATATTTCGGTTAGTTTGGTACCTAATTTAGCTCAGGATAAGTTTCCCCAGATTTCACCATAAGTGTGTACGGTGAGTGCATCACGTTCGTTGGGGTCGAGTTCCCATTTTCATTGTAGTTCTGCAAATTGTCTTCTCGAGGGGACATGCGCATCGAGTAAATTTTGGTTCGTGTATAAGAGGTCACCTTGCTCCAGTCTGCCGCTAAGTTTTAAGCTTGTAAAAGTGGTTCAAGTTGTTTTAACCGGTAAGCAAGTAATTTAAATTTTTAGACGAATTTTTTCTTATAATAATTGTTGTTACTAAAAATTATGCCTGAATAATTGAAACTTCTACAAATTATTTTTAAAATCTTCTAAATGTAATGCTTACATCTAATTAATTTGTTTGTTATTGTTTCTGTGTAATGCAAGTTTAATCTTTAAAAAAAAATTACGTACATTTTCTATGCAAATTATATTTTTTTTCGTAATTATTTTCAAATTTTTGAAACTTGGAAGGTCACCTTGTATTTGGGCTAAGTACTTTGCGTCTGTTGACCTAATTTAAACTTTTGTAAACGCACAAACTGCTCTATAAATAATTAATTTTTTTATTAAAAATTTCACATTTGTTTGCTTTGAATCTTGTGATTTTTTATACACCTGCCTATAACATTGTTATAGTTAATAAACATTACGTATCAATCTACAAAAACGTGCGTCAATTAGCATTAATTTATTAATGTTAAAGTTGCGTGTTTTATTTTTTTAATCATCGGTACTTTACTTCTTGTTTTGAGGTACCTTTTAACTGAAATAAGTTGAATGTGAATGGAGGTGCAGCTACCTGGTTTGAAATTCTGACTAATAATATTTTACACAGTCCCACGAATAATAATGAGTTTGGAATTTGTTTCAAGCAACCAACATTACATTTCAACGACAACGTGGATATTAAAATGTTTTCTTTTAATAAATTAAACATAATGACCAGACAGCATTTCAACATTGATTTATAAAATTTATAAAAGCAAATACATATTTTAATATTCACGTTATCTTTCAAATGTATTGTTGGTTGCTTCAAAAAATTTTAGGCTCATTATTTATTTACTCGTGG